ACCTAAACATAGGAGCCTGATAAAAATGCTAATTTTAGAAGAAATGTTCAGATGGCACTTAGAGGCTTTTGCATCTGAACTCTTCAATTATACAAATGGCATTTATTTTTGGGTGAAATATTAATTTAAACTGTGGCAATGATGTCATGTGAGTCTGTGTGTGTTACTGATATCAAATGGAAGGCAGCTGATGGTGAATGTTACATTTATTCATGGTTTGACTTAAATTTTTTGTTATGGCTTGCAAAGTAAATTATTGTGGAAAATATAATACTTTAATAATTATAATAATTTTTCTTTTCCACAAATAATCTCTCAAAAGGGCACCATCTCACGGCATGCATATATGGCAGGGAATCAACAATCTAATCTAGCTACAAGCAAACATGAGAGAGAATCAATGGTATTTCATTTGTTTGCTTTAACCTCTGGTAATGCCTATATAAGTATGTAAGCAATAACAATACTAATGACTATTTCAGAGAATTCAGACCTGAGAAAAGCAAGCAATGCTCTAAGCTATTTACCCACCAAGCCAATCTACAGCTCCTCAGTTTCTGTATTTCAGATAAGAGCAGCACTTCACTAAAGTGGCACAGTGTGCAGCATATGTCCCGTTACATCCACTTTGCTTTTATCATTTATATAATCACAAAGTTAGATGCATTCTAGGGAGCTGAAACTGTTTACACAAAACTAATAGATAAAACTAACTTTTTAAAAGTCAACATGAAACCAATGTCAGAGATTCAGCGGAGCGAGATAAAGAAAACAGCCAAATCCCTGCCAGATTAAGAAATCCCTGCCAGACACATTTTTTAGGTCCAAAATGAGGACATGTCCGGGGAAAAGAGGACGCATGGTCACCCTACCGCTTTGTTGAGTTAAATTATACTCAAAATGCTATGTTAGAATAACCCATGGTTTATCCATAACTGACCCATCAGTGGGTTGCAAAACATTTAAAATTGGGTTACATTTGTATGTTTTAACAGTTTAGAACATAACTGTATCACCAGAAAGAACTGTATAATGTTGTATTTTTTTTTTTTTATTTAGCCCATTTAAAATGTTGGAACAGGTCACAGTTCTACAACAGTTGAACATGCGGCCCACCAACAGTTCTGAACAGTTTGGAGTATTACTGTGACACTTCACTGTTTGAATTACTCCATTTGTCTGTGCTTGCAATATTCCAGACAAGCTGCCAGTCTGTGCATTTCTCAGTGACACTGAACAATTCGCATGGCCTCGTGCCTATAATCAAATCACAGCCACGCTGACATTCAGTAAAACAGCACTCATATTATTTAATTATTGCCTGAAGTATACAGTCACCACAGGTTCATATTCAGATTGTTCACACTGTAGGAAATGGTACTTTCTTTTGAATTACAAAAGCCTTTTCCATG